AGATTCCATAAGATCTTATATTATCTTATAATAAGATCTTGTATGATCATATCGTAAGACCTTATTACAAGATTTCACAAGAAAACATCAGATCTTGCAAGGTCTTACAAGACGTGTTTCACCTGGGTTAGTTAGACAAGCTACCAATGTCGGTGTGTAATTTTTAAGATATCTATTATGGACGTTATCCGGACCAGGAGAGGTAGTTTTTAGTCGTTTTAAATGCCAGATCACCTCGCTCTTGCTTATTTCCGGAATATTTCTAAGTTTCTTCTTTAACAGATTAGTCATTTGTGTCCGAGAGATGTTTGGTACATGATGATGAAAAGGTAAAATATCTTGTTTTTCACTGTACACCTCCTGAGAAAAGTAGTTGGCAAATATTTCTGATTTTTCTCTGTCAGTATAAGCTTTATGATTGTAGTATTTCAATATACCATTGTAAGATTGTTTAATTCTTTTATTGTGGTACCGTTTTACTACAGCCCACACTTTTCCAGTGTTCATCTTGCGCTTACACTTCTTTTTTTTTTCGATTTTTTATTTCTTAGGGCATTTTCTAACAGTAATTTTTGGTTGTACTAGAGTTTTTTGTTTTCGTGAAAATTAAATTCTTTCATTTTTCTGTAGAGTCTGTGTTTCTCCTTTACGAGGTGAACGGTTGCTTTACTTAATGTATAATTAATTTTGTATTAGCAGGAGGAACAGCTAGTTTAGCTACTGACACGATGCTGTGCGTAATGAATGCATTGTATGCTTCCAAATCTGTTGGTGTGTAAATTAACCTGTTTTCATTCCATTGAGATAATAATTGGTTGAGTTCTTGCCTGTAAACGTTCCAACTTGCGGTCTTGTAATTCAGTGATAGACGGGGACTTAGTGGCTTGACATCTGCGTCTACTGTAAGATTAAATATCATCGGTTTATGACCGCTGTTCACACCCATTGGCGGCTGAGTTTGCAAATTCGTAATACAAAGAAAAGTTGGATGGGTTGCAAGAACCCAATCCAACTTTTCCTCGTACGATTTACGCTCGTACGTCTTCTACGCACAAAAATATGTTGTCTTCAAGAAGTTGTTGCAGTTGCCGACCTTTTCCGTTGGTTTTTCTTGACCCTTTACTGGATAGCGCAGCGTTTAGATCTCCGACCACTAATGTAGCCGGATTTAGTCGATAGAGTTCATCAAATAAGTCGCGATTTATTTTTGATTTTGGTGGAACGTACATGGAACAGATAAGGAGTTGTTGCTTTTGCATTTCTAATTGCACTGCGACGATTTCGTTTGATCTGTCCGTTTTATTAATCACTTCGTGACACCTAATGGTGTTGTGAATGCTAAAAGTACGCCTCCGCCGCCTTTGTCAGGTCTATCATAGCGAAAAATGTTGAAATTTGGTAAAAAGAAAATACTTTCTAGCTGATGTGAGATTGATGTGAACAATTTTCATTGTCGAGTGGGATGAGTTCTATGGCGCTTTGCAACTGATGTTTGTGAGCCATTTGTACCTGTTGTGGCTGCACTCTTTCTCAATTCTAATTATTGTTTTTCCTGAGTTGTTTTATGTTTCGGTTGAAATGAGTAAAGAGATTTCTCTACACTATTCGTACCAGTGGTTGTGGCTACTAAACGCTTAGTTGTGCTAAGATTTTGGTTCATTACCTCGTAAAAGGTTTCTCTATCATCATTATTGTTAATCACTTGTGTTTCTTCAATCTCTATACTCTTACCGTCTTCGTTGTCATCCAAATCAATTTGATCAGGATCTTCTTCTGTTGCAAAATTATCAAGGTCCATGTGATTCTGATGTGTAGTTGTTCCAGTAGTAGACGCTGGTGATGCGGTGGTTGTTGTTAATTCTAATTTTTCTAATATTTTAGCGAGAGTTGGTTGAAGTATTGCTATAACTTTCTTAAAGACAGCTTCAACAATGTCAACAGTCGATGTAGCTGACGAGTTTTGATGACGTGGACCGCCTACTGACGGAAACGCACGATAATCATTAATATTAGGTGTCGGTGACGGTCGTGTACGTGTCGATGACGTAGATGAATAATTCTCAATTGTTGATTTTAGTCGCTTTTCTTGTTCTTTATATTTGTCACATTCGTGTGAGGTTGCATAATGTTTACCCTCACAGCTTTTACACTTAATTTGATTAGCATTTTTGTCACAGTCTTTACTATTATGTGCTTCTGCGCATCTTGTACATACTTTGCACGACAGTATTTTGAAATATGTCCGAAACCTAAGCATTTATAGCACTGAATAGGCTTTGTTAAATACTTGGCTGGTTCAGCTATGATATTTAAATGTTGTAAATGTAGTCCAGTACGAACAATTGTATCACGATTGAATGAATCAGCAAATGTAAGTTTAACTGTTGTACTTGTAAATGTATTATTTTTATTACTCTGAATGTTTGTTAATTTCACATCCGGCATATTTTTCGTTATAAGTTTGCTGAGCTGAAAGCGAGTATTTTTAACACCTTGTAAAATGAGTGGAGCCAACTGTGCTGGTGGTTTTGTCAGTTGCGGATGTTGCTGTCGCTGTGGATTATTTGTGGCCCTTGACTTGCTTCTTCTTTCATCATCTCGTTGCGTTGACTTTTTACGCTTACGGTGAATTGTTCCTCCATCAGGAGGATTATCCTCCATTTCTCTTGATGTTGTGCCCAAAATTTCACTAATTGTTTGATAGATTATGTAGAAATTTAGAGTTGTTTTATCAGATTTATTACTCAAATTTCAATATTTTTACTTTGTTAGAGTAGTTAATTAGCAAGACAAGTCTTCACGGCACCTATCTTTTGCTCAATTTCCTTTTAGCTTCAAATCGTAGTTTCAAGGAGAGACTAACTACGTCAATTTGAATTGATCTTAGCTCCTTGGAGCTACACTGTAAAAAATAAAGTGTACCCGGGGCACACCGAATGTGCACATCACGTTGGACTGTTGTTACATACTGAAAACGACTTGTTCAGTGTCTGTAACACACTGAAATTGAATGTATAGCTTCCACAGATAGAACGAGAAAAAAGATCGAAGAGAAGAAGAATTATCCCGTTTTTTTTCCATATAATATAGCTAATAGAGAAACGCAGGATAAAAATTCAGATTACATAGTGACAATTTGCACATCACTCTGGACTCGAAATGCACACTAGCGGGTACACTTTATTTTTTACAGTGTATACAATTTGGAGCTAAAAGGAAACAACGTCTTTCAGCTGAATTCCGAAACTCTAAACTGCTTTGAAGCTTCGACAGAGGACATTTGATTGTTTACATAAGCATCTATTGTCTTTTCAACATCATTCTTCGAACCTATCTATTTTTTCTTTCTTTCACTCATTTCAGAAAAAAGGAAATGAAAAACCCATCTTAACAGATAACTCCGCTAAAACAGTTTAGAGTGCAGTTTGTCATGCTAAATCAGAGAAATACCAGAGTACTACTCAATAAATCCGAGTCAAGTGAAAATACAAGTTTGTGCACTTTAATCAAACCCTCAAATCAAGTCCACAACAATATTCTGAGTTGTTGTGTCCTGATGATTCATATGTTATTCTGAATAGAGAAAGATACTTTTTTAAGAGAGTCTAGAGGAAATTTATAGAACACGGTCAAGCACATAATCTTATGAGACATGATGAATTCTTACGTGAGCTTATGAGATCTTCTCACTTCTTGCAAGATCATATGAGATCTTATACGATCTTACAGTCCCATATATTATGGTCTTATAAGATCTTACAAGATCTTCTAAGATCATTTGTCTTATAAAATCTTATAAGATTCTTTTACAAAGATATCATACAAAATCTTACAAGATCTTATAAGAAGTCAAAAGATCTTACAAGATCCTTTGAAATCGTATGGTTTCTTGGAGTAAGATCTTATAAGACCATAGGAAGTCTTGATATACGATTGCTCGTCCTGGGAGGGAGCTTTCTCCTAGATAACGTTCCAATGTAGCGGATGATGAAAGTGTATATGTCAAAGAAGTGCGAGCGTTTCTAATGACAAAATGTGCAGCGAAACAAGGTATACGCTAAACACTTAGAAATTCCAATATATAT